CTCAGAGAACTGCAAGTTGTTCTGTACGGCTGGATCTTAGGGTGCAAGACTGCAGGAGGTAAGGGTGGATGGCAAAAAAAGATGCTTAGCAGGTGGGCAGGGTTCCAGATCATGGAGGTATAGGAGTGTAAGGCAATTAATAATGGAATATGATGGCAGAACCAGGACATTTCCATGGTAATATGTTAAGATGTATCATGAAGTGTTCTGGGAAAACTTGGGTCCATATTGGAAAATTGGCTCTGAATATGGTATTCTCAGCATCATTACGTGACTGAATTAGCAGTGAGTGTTAATAGGACAGAAATAGGATTTTCAATTCCTTTAGCCAAGTAGTTAAAAATATTGAGCATCTTGAAGAAGTGATGGAGGAAATAAGCAGTTTCAAGGTAGTCCCAGAGATTCTCTGGAAATTGTTATAGTCTTAATTATTTACAGGCTTAATGAAAATATTAAGTAAGAGTCGCTTGGCCATTTGCATTTAGAGAAGACAGTTAAATTTATTTTTTGATTTGCAGGGAAATAGAAAATGCTTCCATCTGCATTGGCTTTACTGGCCCTTAAAATAACTTATGTGTATTTGTTGGTATCTTGTATAACTTGTCACAACATTAGTCACCACTTCTTCCATAACGCAACATGTAAACGATCATGGATTAGCATGACTATAACTTATAATTATAGTTCAATTTGTTCTTAGTGTTTTAGTCAGCTTTTTGCTTTTCTTTTTTTTTAAGAGACTGTCATAATCTTTGGCTCCATGTAATAGAACTCTGGCAGCTATTTGAACTGAGTAAGGAACTTAGGTAGTTTTATTATTACTCATTAGAGTGAGGCAGTGACTATGGATAGCAATAGAGGAGGAGTAAGCTTCATTGCTTCTACAAATGCCTTTTTTCTTTGAAATCTCTTTATTGCAAAAGCACTTGAAATGATGGATTGTTGAGGTATACCCCATGTTTATTTTATGTTGTATGTACTAAATTATTTGGAAGAAGAATTCCATCTAACTAGATCAGTTGTTCTTTAGTGTTGATCACTAGTCCAGCAGCATCAGTATTACCTGGGTACTTGTTAGAAAAGCTAATTCTTAGGTCTTACCGTAGAAACTCTGGAGATGGGGCTGGAAATATATCTTTTAACAGGCTAAAGTTTGAGAATCAGGGAAGTACCTATCATTTATTAAAATCTTTAGACCCCAGGAAGGCTAGTCTGTACTTCCTTTATTCCTTCTACTCAATATTTATTTGATTCTGGCTGTGTGCCAGGTACTGCTCAGGTGCCTGGGAAACACTACTGGATATGATAGACAAAATCCCTGGTCTCCTGCAGTTTACGTTTAGAGGAGGGAGATTGATAATAAACAAGATTGTAATGAGTATGGGCCAGCCCCGTGGCGTAGCGGTTAAGTGCACGCGCTCCGCTGCTGGGGGCCCGGGTTCGGATCCCGGGCGCCCACCGATGCACTGCTTGTCAGGCCATGCTGTGGTGGCGTCCCACATAAAGTGGAGGAATATGGGCACAGATGTTAGCCCAGGGCCAGTCTTCCTCAGCATAAAGAGGAGGATTGCCATGGATGTTAGCTCAGGGCTGGTCTTCCTCACAAAAAAAAAAAAAAGATTGTAATGGGTATGATGTGGAGAATTAAAATAAGGTAGTAGAGAGTGTGCTGGGGAAGGCCTTTCTGAGGAGGTCAAGTGTAAGTGGAGGTTTGAATGACAGGAAGGGCCGCCTGTATGAAGGTCAATACAAAAGACTGTAAGATAAGAATGCGTTTGGTGTGTTGGAGGAGCAGAAAGTGGGCCAGTGTGGCTGGAGTGCAGTGGGCAAGGGGAGAGAGGTGTGAAATGAAGTTGCAGAGATAGGCAGAGGCTGATCATGCAGGCCCTTGTAAGGACTTTTTTTTCTTCCTTAGTTGTTTTTTTTTTTTTTTAAATTGTGGTAAAATCCACATAACATTTATCACCTTAACCATTTTTAAGTGTACACTTCAGTGGTATTAAACACATTCATGTTGTTGTGCAACCATCACCACCATCCATCTCCAGAACTAAGACTTTGACTTTTACTTTGAGTGATATGACAAGCTTTTGGGAGGTTTTGAGCAGAGGACTGACATAACCTGACCTTTAGATTAAAAGGATTACTGGCCACTAAGTTGAAATCGGACTGTAGTGGGGCAAAGGAGGAAGCAGTGAGAGCAGTCAGAGTATTGCAGTAATTGAGGTGAGATGATGGTGATCTGTCAAGGATGGTAGGGTTGGGGATGCTGAGAAGCATTGAGATTCTAGATCTATTTTGATGATCAAATCAACAGAATTTGCTGGTGGCATTTAAATGATTGTGGCATATAAAACAGGAGTCAGGGATGATATCAAGTTTTTTTGGTTTGAATAGCTTGTGGATTTCAGGAGATGCAGATTTAAGGAAGGAAAGCACCATTTGTTAAATTGGAAATGCTTCTTAGATATCGAAGTGGGGATGTTGGGTAGGCAGTTGGATAAGGGAATCTGGAGTCAGGAAAGAAGTCAGGTTAGAGACGGGACTTTGAGACTTGTCAGCATTTGCATGGTAATTAAAGCCCTAAGACTGAATGAGATCATCCAAGTAATGAGTGTAGACAGGGAGAGGCCCAGGACTAAGTTCAAAGGTAGGAGAGCTTATGTGAGAAGGAATTAGCAAAGGAGCAGCCGGTAAGGTAGGAAGAGTACCAATAGAGAGTGATGTCCTGGAAGGCAAGTGAAGACACTGTTTCAAGGAGGGCAAATCAATCACCTGTGTCAAATGCTGCTGAGAGGTTAAGACAAGCACTGAGAATTGACCATTTAGCACATTTTAGCCATGTGGATGTCGTTGGTGATCATGACAAGTTGTTTCACTGGTGTGGTGGGTTCAGAAACCTGGCTGAAGTATGTTAAAGAGAGAAAGGAGAAGAAGCAGAGACAGGAGAACAGACAACATTAGAACACTCTTCACTTAGAGAGCAGATCTGTACAAAACACCTTAGCTTAGTGGCACAGGTAGTGTCAGAGCTCCAGTGTTTAAAAAATTGGTAGGTAACACCTTTGCATGCGTGTGTTTGTTATTTCAATTTTTTAAATAGGAAAAAATAAACTTAAAAATGGAAATTTGGGTAAAAAAAGTCTGGAAGCTCTGAAGAACCTCCGAGGAGTCCTATGGTCCCATAGAATACATTTTGAAAGCCATTGTCTTAATCCAGAGGAATGAAATTCTGAGATGAAATTCAGCCAGTTGCAAAATAGGCTTAAGAAAGATAATGTTAAGTTTTAGAGGGAATCTTCCTGGTGCTCTTCAGATGACCTTAGAACATTCCTTTCTTTCATCAAACTCTCTCTGTTGAGATCATTCTAATGAAAGGGATGTTTCCATATGGTATTTTCCACAAAGGTTTGGTGGCCGAAGAATGCTGACCTTGTAGGTATTTTTGTACCCTCTTGCAGAGAAAAAAGCAGAAAAAAATTTTTTAGGCATTCTTAAAACTTCAGTTTACTTTGTTTTATTTAGTTTTCTAATAAGATACTCTGATTTTGTGTCTGATTTTTAAATTATGTTTGACAAGGTATATTTACATACCTTGAATTTTAGAGCAGCCCACTCTTTTCACCGTGGGTGCTTATTTTAAGTAAAAGCCCAAGTTTCTCTTCAGTGAAGAAATGATGATCCTTCACAAGAGAAATAAGTAGATCCCTGAGTGACAAAACACACATTTTTCTTTCTACTCCTAAGGAAGTAGAGGGAGTATTACCATATTTTATTGAATCTAAGATACCATTATTTATTTGATGTATTGTTATTATATATGTTAGTAAGAAAGAAAAACATGTTGCCATTTAGAATTGTACAATGCAATAGATTGTAAAAGATGTGAAAATGTAGGGAAAAAAGTTCATCTTAGAATCAGTGAAACAGAATTTTAGCACCAAGAGATGTGAAATCTGGTTCTGGCTGTGTTTCTAACTAGCTGTGGGACCACCACCAAGTCACTTAGAATCTCTTTGCCTCAGGTTCCTCACCTGTATGGTGAGGGTAATGCCTGATCCACCTACCTCATAGGATTATAATGAGATAAATGAGGTAGTTATTTTGAAAAGTGGAATCTGCTGGGCACATTCAAGGTATTTATTTGATTGAAATTAACCCTTAGATCTGATTAGGCAACTCAGAAAGTTTCTTCTCTGAGCTTTGTTGTCAGGCTTAAAATAGAATTCAGTTCTAGACATTTGAAAGTATAATATTTTCTTCTGTGAAATAATTTTTATTTCATCTGGAAATAATATCTTTTTATTGTAGTCTTAGAATCAAAGAGAAAATACAAAGATAATATAACTCTGATGTTCTCATCACTCAGAATTAACTGTTAACATTCTGTTAGTGCTGTGATCTTTTTAAAACTTATTATGAACTATTTATGACATGAAAAGGTAAAGGGATGTAGTAACGGACATTCATATACCTGCCATTGTCAATACAGATGAAGCCCCTATTCGGGAACTGTATCTTACATTTAGATTAGCATTCTGTTTTCATAATAGCCTAGTGAGGTAGGATACTGTTTCTCTTGTTTCAGTCTTTAAAACTTGTGAGTAAACAAGTTAACTTCATCATATGAGTGTTTTATCCTGGAATATGAAGGAGAAGACTACTTTGTGTTGGTGTTGCCTTGGTTTGAGTTTCCTTAAAATTCTGCCTGTGGCTTTGGAGATCCAGCTGTGTAAATTGGAAATATGATGTCTGTAAAATTATAGTAATGGCTAGCCTATTAGGTGCCAGACATTGTACCTAGACAGTTTTTGTGTGTTTTCTTTAAGTTTTACAATAATTCTTCTGGTTAGGTGTTTTCATTTTATAGATTAGGAAGGCGTGGCTCAGAGAAGTTGAGCTAAAGATTTTAATCAAGTTCTGCCTTATACAACAGCCCGCGTGTTCTACACCATGCTGCCTCAATCCTTGTCAGTAATCATGATCTGTTTCTTTTGTAGGCAAAATCCAGAGACCACGTTTGAAGTGTATGTTGAAGTGGCCTATCCGAGGACGGGTGGCACTCCTTCAGGTATTTGCATATTTATAATATGGCGTGTTTGTTTATTGTATGAGATAGCCATGCACATGGGATAATATGTGACTATTCTAAACTGTTATTTGTCTTTAAGTATGTTACCTTTTATTTGTGCCCACATCATCCTAGCGAATGGAGAATAAGCACAGTGAACAACTTAAGAGTCACTGCCATAACAGGCTTGAAGTATGGCTTTATTCATTGTAATCCTTGAGTCTTGGTTTGTCGCTTTCACAGGTGCCTGAAAGGCAACTATTCAGTGTGAAATATTGTCTCTTTGATAGTGACGAAGTCTTAGAATTAGGTTACAAAATAATATAAAGGGAAATCTCTGCCACTAAACTGGAAGGAGGTATTTGAAATGGATTAATGTAGTAAATTTTGTGTCACCTGGTAAAAGAAGGTTGGAAGTGAGTTGAAGGAAACACCTCCTCTTGCTTTAGCTTTAGCTTTTGGACTAATTTGGCATGTATTCCTGGACAGCAGAGTCTTAGATAAGGTTAGAGTATCTTGCAGAGGCTGAGTATATCACTTCATGACCTAAAATCCTTCTTGGTTAATGAGAAAAAATAACCTTATGACCTAATGTTCTTTTTCTTGGTGCCTAAGAGAGTGATGCATTTGCCAGAGGTATGTTAGGGAGCAACTCTTGGTCCATGCACACAGGCAGTTGTGTATATTATTTGGTGTTTAGGGAGAGTGGATTTCCTTGGATTAGAAATTTGGAGTAATCACGGTTCCACTAGGTTATGCCTTAATTGGCTATACAACCTTGGGCATATTTTCTCTCTATTTCATTATTTTAATTAGATTGTAATACTCATAAAAATAGCTACCTTTTATTAAGTATCTGTTGTGCTTTTGTCCTGCATGCATGTCCAATACAACCCTTAAAGATAGTTGGGTGGCATCTCCATTATACCTATGAGAAAATAGAATCTCAGAGAGGTCAGATAACTTGCCAAGATCATATAGCTACTATGTGGGATAGCCAGGATTTTTGGTTCAAGTCCTCTTCACTATGCTTCACTTACCTTCTTGAGAACAGTTCAGATCATGTTGTACACATCTCTCAATGTCATCTGCAGGGCTTTGCACATTGTCACTAATATTTGTTAAAATGAATGAATTTCTCTTAATAGCAAAAATGAGATAACTATGTGTGCTCTACTTTCTGGATTATCTAATGAAGGCTGTGAAACATGTTACAAATTTACGATCGTTCTAGAAGTAGAACGTTAACATCCCTGTTAAGTTATGCCTCTTATCGTGCAAACCATTGGATTGGGAAGGTATCTGTTACTAGGTGTATACGTGTAGCAGCATGTCTTTGGGCTGACTTTACAGATGAACCATTTGATGATGGCTGTGATTTGACAGATAAATTTAAAGACAAATTTTTTTCTTATTTCTACAGTTGCTAATGTTTCCCCTTTCAATGTCCTAGGATTTTTTTTCCCAAAATTAAAATGAATTTTTTTGAAATATGAACAAAATTTGAAAAGGGCAAATAAGACAGAAGAATGAGCAAAATGAAAAGTCTTTATCTTACCCTCTTATCCCAGTCATCTAATTCGTCTCCCCATAGACAACTCCTTTCTTGTTTAACTCTTTAGTATATATTTTTAAACTTATTTTGAAAATATTTTAAAAGGTAAAAGCTACAAAAATAGTCAAGTGTATATGCTCTTTCCTTAGATTCATCAATTATTACTATTTTGCCATATTTTCTTTATTACTATATGTATATTCCTATTATTTTTGCTGAACCGTTTGAGAATAAGTTGCAGACATTGTGACCCTTCACTCCTAAATACTTCAGAATATATCTCCTAAGAATAAGGACATTTTCTTACATAACTCTAGTACAGTTATTGAAATAAAAAAATTTAACATTGATATTTCTTTACCTTTTATGACATGTTTTTGAAGAATTTAGGTCTGTTTTGTAGAAAGTCCCTGGATTTTGATCTGATTGTATCCTCATCATTAGATTCACGTTATGGATTTTTACAGGAGTATCTCAAACGTGATATTGTGTATCATATCAGCAGGCATGCAATGTCTGTCCCATTATTTGTGGAAAAAAGTACATAAAATTTATATGTACAGTTTAACAAATATTTGTAAGGTGAGTACCCATGTTATTGCTATCCAGGTTAAGAAATGTAATGTTGCCTGCTTCTAAGGAAATAATGGTCCTGGCAAGAGGGATCCCTGCCCTGGCCCTATGCTTTAGAGGGCCCTGCCTTCCCCCTCTTCCATGGGGAAAGGAGTCTTTGGGGCCTATGGGACATGCCCACTTGAAGCCTGAACCTTTCCATCCTAGACCACACTTTGAGTACCTAGGATTTCAGTATTTCTTGCCCAAATGGTCCTGAGCTTGTTTCCAGAGCCTGTGTCAGTCTCCTCCCCCTTATGGTTTGTCTTTCACTCTCTTTATGGTATCTTGAATCAAAACTTCTTGATTTTAATGCAGTACAATTTATCAATATTTTCCTACCCTCAGATATGAAGATATTTTCCTATGTTTTCTTCTAAGAAATTTATAGTTTTGCCTTTCACATTTAGGTCTTTAATCTATCAAGGATTTTAGTTTTCTACTAGATGATTAATATCCAGAAAAGTTAAACTCCAAATTTGATTCCTTATCCATGATTTTTAAAAATTGGGAAACTAAATAAAGCCATATTAATAAGATATGCTTCTCCTCTACTTATAACATATTTTTATGAAAGGATCAGGTACTCCTAAATGATACCTGAAAAATTACCTCACAATAAAAAGATGACAGATGTGAGAAAAGCCAGTAAGAAATATTATTAGACTTTAAAGACAGTTCTTTTTCCCGTTGGTTACTTTTAATGTCTATATTCCTAAAGACATGTATTAAACGTTCATGGATTCTGTGCTCTGAAGAGCATTCCATGACATCCATGGAAGGGAGGTGTGATCTGTTAGTTCTACTTAGACATTGCATCAAGGCCTATGACACTGAATGGGACACCTTCCAAATATCGTGCAACTAAGATTTGGGTATGCAAACTGAACTCATGGTGTCACTTACTTTCTTTGGGAATTCGGAAAATTCCTTAGTTGCTATTACCAGTGAATAAGCTGTCACTTAATATTTGATTTTAGGTATCTTTTATCTACATCTACAACCTTCTTATTTGTTTTTAATGAAACTTACTATATTTGCCTTTTTCTGATATTATTTAATGCATCATTTTTGCCATTTTAAATGATTGCAAAGACTCTGCCTTCAGATTAGTCTTTGTTCCTTGGATCTGCATCTCTGATCTCTGCCAAAGTATCTGAGCAAACTTAGGTATAAACCTCATGCCATACAGTACTAGTGTCTGGGCATAATCTTCTCTTTGAAGTTTGTTTGCATCCCCCAGAGGGATTAATTCCCTGCTGTGAGAAGGTGGGTTAGAAAGCACTGAAACTACTTTACGGGTCTTTAATTGGAGGATTTAGTATACATTTTGTTCTATAAACTTCTGTGGGAGTTTCATTCTTACAATTTTTCTTATACTGTGGTATGTTATGTTCTCGTTGTAAATAAAAAAATGCTAAAAATTTTCTCAAGGTTTTTGAGTACGTATTGGCGGATTATCCTGGTGTGTGTTTTTTTATTCATCTTTAAATTTTTAGTACTTGTTTTCTGATTAGTTTTTTAGTATGTATAAAATTTAAAAATCAGAGAGAGAAAAATCATCACTCAGTGATAACTACTGTTAATGTTTTGGTATATTTATTTTCTTGTAGTCTTCTTTTGTATGTGTGTGTAAATAAAATATTTAAACTTTTTCCGCAAACTCTTGTTATATGTGTTTTCCTTGCTACTCCCCAAATTAATCATTAAGCCTTTCCTAAAATTATTAATATAGTTTTGTAAAAATCATTTCAGTTGCAATGAATTACTACATCATGTTTATGTGCTATAGTTACTTATAATTGGATCTTTAGGTTGTTTCCAGAGTTCTCCTGTTGTAAATAATGCCAGCGAACATCTTTGTGTATAGTGCTTGTAATTGAGGTATGTAATTTTAATGCTTTGAAAAGAAGTGGGATCATTTTGAGTAGATCTTTGATCTACTTTGGTCTTAATTTTTTTATGCTTTCTTTTTTTGCCACATTCCATTTTGTGTACTCTAATTTGTGTATTTGCTCAAGAACCCACCTTTACATAGGGATCCCAGAAAACCAATACAGTCGTCTCAAGTTGTGAAGGCTCCCAAAGCTGAGTTTAGCTGGTCTGACTGAAGGTCTCGGAAGAGGGTGCTCTTGCAAGAGGGATGAGCCTCCCTGGTCCCGTGATCAGATGGTGCTGGCCATGCTGAAACTCTGAATGCATTTCAAATACGAGTGTCTCATTACAGCTGGCATCTCTGAGCCTGCTGCGGGCACTGTTCTTGGAGAGCCGCTTAGCACTGGGAGGTTGGCAGCATCAGATTCTCAAGACTGTTGGGCAGACCAGCTTCCTCCTGTGTCAGCTCCTCTTTCAGCATTTTTAATGCATTAGCCCAATGGCCACTTTTTAAAAAGAAGTGGATAGTCAAGTTGAGAAACTGTTGTGAGAGCTCTGTGAAAGGAATGCTTAAGACATGGTGCTTTGGTTAGCTGAGTTTTTCACCTATCTTGGTGTTAAGCTTGGTGTAATCTTAAACGAAAAGGCGGGGGGGGGGAGTGGGGGAATCCTGGCTTTAAAATCTCTTAAATATCTCTTGACTTTTTTGTGTTAGCAGTATCATGAAGAAAACTGAGTCTTGGCCAACTTAAGGTATTGAGAGCCAGATTTGTTATTCTAAACTTCAGCTTTCACTTTACAGGACTCTAATTCTAGGGGCTTTGCCTGAATCTATGATCACAGCGGATGCTCAACATTATTAGATATTTTTAAAAAATCAACTTAAAAAATAAACAACAATTTTTGCTGTCTCTTTGGAAGTGGAGTGGAGAGGAAAGGCCCTTTTGAGAGTTCTTTT